CCAGGGCTTCCCTTTTCTGTGTAAAAGCCAGTCTTCACAATGGCCCAGAAAGCCCTTTACAACATGACTGCTGACATCACTTCCTCCTTCTCTTAGACTTGCTCTCTCTGTTGCAGCCATACTGCCTACCCTGCTGTTCCTTAAACACGACAGGCATGCTCCCTATGCAGGGCCTTTGCACTGGCTATTTTCTCTGTCTGGAATATTCTCCTCCAAACACCCTGTGGCTTCCTACCCCTCCCCCGCTTCAGTTCTTCACTCAAATGTACCTTCTCAGTGTGAAACCCTCTGACAATCCTATTTAAAATTGCAGCTCCCTTCTGCCCTGTCCTCTTCCCTGCTTCGTTTTTCCATAGGGATAAAGTATCTCTTTGTCTAGCATACTGTAAATTTTATGCATTTCTTTTGTTTATTGACCATCTCCTCCTCTGAGACTATAAACTCCACGAGGGCCAAGATTTTTTTTTGTCTATTTAATCCACATTCGCATCTTCGCTGTCCTTAGGCCTCGTGCATAGTAGGTCTTTGGTAAATATTTTTTTAAATGAATCCATGAGTAAGTGAACAAATATCATCCTCAATAAATAGTCATCAGATGAACACTTGCTATAATATCAATTTTTTAATTACTCTATTAGCCACAGTATTAATTATACGAACGCTAAATGTTTAAAACCCACATGTGCTCTTGGGCATTAAATGCTTACTTGAACAAATTTACTCTTTTTGGCCTTCTGACTTACTCGGGCTATTTGCTGGGCCTAATTAAGCAAGCTTATCTCCTTTCAGGCTTCAGCTTCTGCTTCAGTGTCATTAACTTTCCAGATTTATTTATCTTTAGCCTCATGTCCATTCCTGATTTGCATTTCTATTTCCAGAAACTTACTTTATATTTTGATTGTGATGTCCATCGGTTACTTATACTTTAAAATCAACATTTAGAAGCTCAAACTTATTTACCCAAGCTCTCATATGGACCTCAAATAAAAATAGACACATGCCAAAACTATTCTTTCTCTTATTGATTTATTTTTTTTATGTGGGTTATTTGCCTCATCAGCTATTTAGATGATCAAGCCAGAAATGATGGAATACCCCTTATTTCTTTCCATTTCATATTTCCCTTATGAAATTGATCTCCATGTACCATTGATTTTACCTCTGATTTCGTCTCACATAAATCTCTCCTCTTCCGTGATTTCAAGTCTTTGGTTAGGAGTTTGTGCGAGTTAATGTAAAATCTTCCTAACTGGTTTCCCTGCTTCTGGTTCTTCTAATTTATTCTTTGTATTATTGTCAACTTTATATTTTCAAAGAGCCCCAAAACCTTCAAGGAAAATGTTCAAACTTCTTAATATGTCATAAAATAGTTTAACCTCTGGATTAGAGTAGAGGATTTTTTAGGCAACACTTAATACATTAATCCAATTATCCAAGCCTTGGGAATCACTTTCTATGGCAGACTACATCCACGTGAGTGGAAAAACCCTGGGAACAAGTTGGTCTTGAACGGAGCAGCTTTACTGTTACTCTATTCCTTAGAGTCCAGTAGGAGAGCTCAGATTTGGGAGTGGGATGGAGGCTTTTGGAGGAAGTGATAAGTTTAAAGATTTTATTTATTTATTTTTCCCCCAAAGCCCCAGTACATAGTTGTCTGTCATAGCTGCACATCCTTCTAGTTGCTGTACGTGGGACGCGGCCTCAGCATGGCTGGAGGAGTGGTGCCTCGGTGCGCACCCGGGATCCGAACCTGGGCCGCTGGCAGCGGAGCGCGCGCACTCAACCGCTAAGCCACGGGGCCGGCCCAGAAGTGATAAGTTTAGACAACGAACAAACAACATAGAGGCAAAAACCAATTAAAGAACTGAAATCATGTATAAATGATAAAAAATTCACATATTGAGGTATTCACATATTGAGGTATACGGGGTAGCTATTCTGGTTTAAATCTGATTTGGCCTGAACTAAAGAAGCCTGACTTATGGCCTGTCAAACATACATTGTACATCTGCTTTAACCATTAAAGATAGTGATGCATTAAACATTATCTCAAAGTAAAAGGACGCACTCTGAAGATAAGAACACATACTTCCTTTCCTACATGTCAGCGTCAGTACACCTGAAGATAAGTTTCCTTTTCCAGACATCAGGGTCATGTTGACCCCTGCTAATCTGCAACTGAACATCCCTTTGAAACTTTGATGAATATGTATCCTGGGCATGTTTGATGTATGTTCTTCGTTCTAAAAAGGTGTAAAACTGTGCTGAAAACCATGCTTCTCCGGAATACGTTTCCTTTGTGGAGACTGCCTTCCTGGGCTAGTCCTCAGCTTGGCTCAAGTCAATCTCACCTTATCTCTCTTATCTACAGAATGGTTATTGGTTATTTGAGTCAACATAAATATATTGAATATTTTTAGATATATAAAGATGATTTCAGGGCCTTTAAGCTTCCTTGGGGAGGGGTGTGAGGTAAAAAGAAATGAAATGATATCATTATAGTGCATGCATGTTCTTTTCTGTCTGCGTGAAACAGTAATGCTAGTGATCTTGGAAGATGAGTCCACATCTTTGTGGGAACATCTGCCATTTCTAATTCACTAGTTTGCTTGTGACTAGCTTCTTTAAGGAGGACATACTCTGAAGCCCAGAAAGATATACACTTAGTCAATTACATCAAGAGAATGAACCAAGAAGGAAATTACACTTCTTCATTATCCTTATTAGTCACTTTACAGTTTGTACTTTCAATAGATTGATTTGCTTCTTACAATCTGATGAAGCTTATAGAATAAATATTATGCCCATGCTACAGACAAGGCAACTAAGGTCCCCAAAGATGAAGTGATGTGGCCAGGACCACAAAGCTAGCAAAAAATTCATTTACTCTTTTTGCCATTAGCATATGAGGTAGTTATGATATGAACTTTAAAACTGCAGAAGTATTAGAATTAATCTTAGTAAACATCTTTAAATGAAAAGAGTTGTGTCTTGGTTTGGAACCCACAGCTCATTCTTTTTTAATACATATGGCAGCATTCCAAAGGACCTCTACAAAAATCAGTTTAATCCCACATTTTCTCTTTCTATTAATATTTTTTAGTTGTACCTGGCGATGTTTCTATACTTTCATTTCATCATGAGCTCCTTTGGGACAGTGATAAGGTGACATTCATCTCTGTCTTTCTGGCACTGTATTTCTGCCATTCAGGCAGAAAGGGCTCATAAATACTTATTAAATTGAATATTTTAAATTCACATGCAGGAAAAATGCCGAGTGCCTAAATACTGTTTATTTTCCTCTTATTGCTAAATATCAGCATGATTTTCCCTTTTCTCTGCTTTCTATTTCCTAAAAAACCCTAATGGTGACTGGCCAGGGAAATTTCCTTTATCACTAGCTGTGAACCCTGTCTTTTAAAATTCCAAGTTGGCAAACACACTCTGAAGACACTGTGATAATCTTAATATATTTCTCTTAGAAACCTGAGAAATATTCAGAGCACAGCGTCCACATATTCAGAAGTTATAAAATAGAGGCCAGCCCCTGGCTTAGCCGTTAAGCACGCGTGCTCCGCTACTGGTGGCCTGGGTTCGGATCCCGGGCGCGCACTGACACACCGCTTCTCTGGCCATGCTGAGGCCACGTCCCACATACAGCAACTAGAAGGATGTGCAACTATGACATACAACTATCTACTGGGGCTTTGGGGAAAAAAAAGGGAGGAGGATTGGCAACAGACGTTAGTTCAGAGCCGGTCTTCCTCAGCAAAAAGAGGAGGATTAGCATGGATGTTAGCTCAGAGCTGATCTTCCTCAAAAACAAACAAACAAACAAAAAAGTTATAAACTAGAGTTCTTGATTCTAGCCAATAGGTATTCATTTTGGGGAGTAAAGAAAAGACTAGAAGAATTAGAGAGGAGGAGACGAAAAACAGAAATAAATAGCATGTGGGTAACTAGAAAATAGGCTTCTGTCTGCAGCTGTGAGCCCCAGACTAAGAATACAAGATAGGCAGCATTATTCTTTTGTAACATAATCCTGATGAGGAACATTTTAAAAGATTTCTGTAGACAGCAATATATATGTATTTTGTGGCAAATGTGTTATTCTCAAAAAGAAACGAATGCTTTCGGTTTCACTTTCCCCATGTTTAACGAAGTAGGAAAAGTATTCTCCCCTCCTCTTTAACCATTATCATTCTTCTCATCCAGTCTTGAGTCTAACAATATCTACCGATTTGCAAGAAGACCCCATCTTTCAGCAGCTTTCAGGGTATTTAATAACATGGAATCAAAAACTCAAATGACCGTCAGTTTCACTTCGTTTTGCCTTTGATGTGAGAACTGGGGAGTCAACCACTGAATATTTCATCTTTAGGTCTTCGCTTTATTTTTTTAAATATATTAAAGGGGAGGATGGTCGCCGACTGCCAAGATGTTTTCCACCTCTGCTGCTCTGTGAACTTGTCCCTGTTTCTCTCGTCTGGGACAGCACCTTGACGTTCCCCTGCACATCCCGGCCTCTGGGGACCGGCTGCCGACGGCCAGAGGCTCGTGCTGCGGGGGCCCCGGGGCGGCCGCCCCTCGGGGGC